CATGCGTAGCGCTTCGATTCCAGTTGCCACTGCTGAAGGTCCTGAACGCAGTGTACGCTATTCCCTTGATCATGTGCAATTCACTCCGTAAGTTTCGCCGCAGGGTACTTCTGCGCCAACACTCGATATCGCTTTTTCGTTTTGAGCACCCAAAACGGGATTGGTGTCCCCAACAGCGCCACATCCGCACTGTTCTTCGTTGATCCCATCAGCGGTGAAGTGAGTGCAAATCCGCAGCTTTCCGAGCAACCCCAAGGCGTCTACAGCGTTGTGGTGAATGCTGTTGACACGAAATCTGCTGAGCCGCTACAGCGCATCGTCAAAAAAGTAAGTCATTTTCTATTATTCTTAGTTTTCATGCTAATTTTTATGCTTTTAAGTTCCACTACGTGAAAGACGACATGAAACTGCGCTACGTCTTCAGCATGGGACTGGAAGAATTCGCCACCGGTCGTGAACAATTTTCAAAGTAAGAAAAACGCAATAAAATTGAGGACGGTTCCATCGGCCTTGTACATTTCAGGAAACTGCAAGAAGCTCTCAAGGCCGATCATCCAGAGGGACAAATGCAGGTGTTCTTCTCGGAGCCGGAGAGGGACATTCGAAACGCGACAAGGTCTGTGCAAACCCTTTCCTTCAAGGCCGCAGGCCGCATCTATAGACGACGTTTTGGGAGATGAGGAGATTAGGCGATAGGAGAGCTCTAGTTCACGAAATTCAGCCGAAAAGATTACGTACTATTTAATAGGAAAATAGAAGATTAGGAGTTCCGTAACAAACCTATCGATCCGTATCTGATCGTCTCTTGTGAACCTACTATTCTGCTAATCAATATCTATCTTGTTCGTTATCTCTTCGTCCCCTAATTTCTTGGTATTTTGAGTATAACATAACCTTACATAACGGCTTCCAGGGGAATTCCAAGCAGTAATTTCAGGACATCAGTCTGTTTCCACGTGGTGATGAATGAACGGGTACAAAATGAGCGTTCTGCCATTTCGGCGCTCTCGCAGTCCGCGGTAGAAAACAGCCAACTCTCAAGGCTCTACCATTCCTACAATGTGGTCAACATCGAGGTCAGTATCCTCTTTTTAGTACTCTCGAATTCACTCCTTAAGAGCTCAGTCCAATTTGTTCTAGCGTTGTGAAGCAACTTCGATGCCAGTGGTTCGCCAGTCAACGTTCCAGCTTCCAACGCAAATTCTGCTGCTCATCGCCGGTGTTGCCGTTCTTGTCGTCGTCCTCGTCGCTTTGATCACTTACATCTGCTTCGTTCGACGTTACAAACAACATCTACGCATGAAACAGAAGCAGATCAAAGGTGCGATATGCTAAACTTGAAGAATCACAGTTTGTCTGCCAGACGGCGGCAGCGTTAGGGAATTGGGCCTATCTTGAAGATCACAGCCGCAGTCGAGCCTTAACTCATTTCTAATTGTAGATTATTTCTTCGATTCCTAATGCTCTTTCAGTTGCAGGGTCGGACAGAACTTCATCGCAGCTCAGCTACTCTCCCACTTTCATTCTACCACCTGCAGGGTAAGTTTTGGACTACCACCAGATATTCTTCTGCCATTTTTGTTATCCTGAATGCTTCTTCTTTCAGGCCGCGTTTCTACTAACTGTCGTGAAGTTTTGGTGCATTCTTCGAGTGTATCTTGTGCTTTGTTCATGTTGCCATAAATTGTGCTGAAAATGTGACTATGCCAGAGTTCAATAAAGGTATAATATCCTAATTTCTACCTCGAACAATGATCTATTGCACAGTTCGCCCAAGTGAATTGTGCAAAGTGAAGATTACCCTCACACCAGAACTCGGTTGAAAGGCTGAGGTGAAAGATAATAACACTGACTGTACGTTGGACTGGCGCCACAGTTCACTGTACAGGACAACACAGCTTGACGGCTAAACACGCCACCATAAAGCAAGCCCCAGGATGAAACTGGTGATATAAGGAGCTCTCGTAGTGATTTGAGCTGCGGAACGACCTGAAAGTGGGAAGGAAAGCAAGAGAACTTTTGGAACGCTGAAATTAAGGCCTTAACCTTCAATAAGGTTGGATGTGGTACGATGGCGAGACAGGGCGATCAAAGAAGACAAAATACGCGAGAGAGCACGTGTTCGAGAGAGCACGCTGATCTCGCCATCTATCAGGTGAGGGGAAGCGTTGCAACGGGGGTTGTTGGTTGCAGTCTCGTGAGAATTAGCGCCCTAACCGCGCAATTTTTGTGATAAAGCTTGAGGGATCTCGGTAGGTAAGGGCCTTAAAATGTCCCTCGCGGTTTCCTTCCCACAAGTTCAGCTAATCCCAAATCCCGGGGTTTGCCTTAGGGTTTCTACAGGTGCCCTTTTTGGGGTTTAATAAAAATCAACAACAAATAGTGGTGTTAGAAACGATGACTTGCAAATTTGTTTCGATTCAAATAAGTTTGGATGAATTATCAACCCTCGCAAAGCGATATAGCCCGAAAGCGAGACCGTTACAGTTTGTCCCAAAAACGTCATGCATTCTTCTGCACTTCCATTAAGAACCGTAATAACACACATTAAAGGAAGGCCCAGGATGAAACTGGTGTATAAGCGTATCGTAGTGATGAGTGAGCTGCGGAATGAACTGGAAATGGAACCGAAAGCAAGAGAAGCCATTGGAAACACTAAAATTAACGCCTCAACCTCCAGTAAAGTACAACGCGAAATAGGACGATCACAGTAGACACAACACCCGAGCGCATGCCATTCGAGAGAGAGCGCTGATCTTACATCAACTCGTTTGGAGGAAAGACGTAAGATATGTCGAGTTTCCAAACCCTTAAAGGAGGAATTCACGATTAGAATGAAGGTCGAAGAAAGGGAAACTGACCTAGTTGAGGGACCCACGGACCTCCTGAGGGTGCGAACTGACGCGCAATTCGCATGGAAAAATTTGACCTCGGCGACCTATCATGCCTCAAAGCTGGCGGGTCCGGCGATCTCCGCCCACCGATCATCTGATCACTCGCCGTAGTTCAATACGTGGCGAGTGATTAGATAGCTGAGAGAGCGTAGTGTTGAAGAGGGCACAGCGATGAGAGTCGCATCAATGCTCGAATCAACGGGCAAGGAAGGGGTACCATTTCTCGGGTTCTGGGCCGTTTCTCATGGTTCTTCCTTCTTTCGTGTACCACTCACCATCCCTAGGTTAATTTGAAATGGGTTGCTTTTTCATCGTGAATTCGTCCTTTAAGATTAGCGCCCTAATCGCTGCATTTTGTGCAACAGGTGTGCACGTTCTCTCCAGGTACGAGCGCTGCAACTTCCCTCGAGTATCCTTCTTAAGCCGATGTCAAATTTGCAAATCCAGCGATTCGCTAGCGACTTCCACTTTGCAGGAGTACACTGTTTGACAGTGGCTGGAATTCCTTTAAACGTTGGGTCCCGCCACTTTCAAACAGGG